ACAATCATGTCAAATATTGGCTCATAAGTTCTAACAAATGTACCACACTAACACAAGATGTCAATAACGGAGGAAACGTGGGAGCAGTTGGGGTCTGAGGGGATGGGAACTCTGTATTTCCTGTACTAAAGGAGTATATTGGAAATCTCTGTACTTTCCTTCCTCTTTTTCTGTAAATCTAAAACTGCTCCAGAAATGAAGTCCATTAACTTAAAAAATTATTTCCCCACTTATAAAATATATACATTAACAAAATAAATATAAAATAGAATACACATAAATGTATATTTGAAATACATATATATAAATATATGTAAATACATATTTTAAATAAATACGTGCAAATATATGTTTAAAATAAATAAATAAATATATGTATATACACATATTATTAAAGCAAGCCTAAATCTGACTTGCTCCTGAATCTCTCACTGCTCTGGGATAGTGACTATCTGTTGAAGGCTGCAAAGGCTGTGGGGAATGGCAGGAATTCAGAGATGCAATGGCAGGAATTCAGAGATGCAGGGAAAGGTCACAAGATGTCACAAGAGGAGTGCTCCCAGGTGGCAGCCACTTTGCAATGGGCCTGCTGGATTCTCAAGGACCCTCTGGTTGCAGGTACAGAATTCCCATGGGGATGTGGGGTAAGCAGGAGAAGCAGGGCTACTGGCTTCAGGGAGGACTTACCCCACCGGCACTTTATGTAGATCAAGGAATTCTTTTATTCTGGCAGAAGCCCTGGAGGGAGGCACCCTTGTCCTCCCATGCTGCACTGTGGGGAGGTTGTGACTGTTCCACTCTCAGCTTGGAGGCAGAGTCGCCCAAGTACAAGCCTAATCAGGGATTGACACTGCAACTTTGGCCAGTTCTCCCCTACTTCTTTCTAAAGCTGCCCAGAGCCCAAGGTGGGTAGGGGTGAAAGGGGGCTTCCCAGGTGGCCCTCAGAGCCTTGAAGGCTTCAGACAGCAATCTCTGCACTCACGTCCCCAAGACCCTCCAAGTTTTCTCTGCCTTGCCTTACAGGGCTACACAGGCCTCCTTTCCCTGCATACTTGCTGCTTGATCATTGGCCTCCACTGCTGGCCTCCGTTACTGTGGTCCCAGCAGTCATCCTAGAACAGCAGTCTGGTTGCAAGTCTGATCCAGGCCAGCTCTCCTCCTCCCCACTAGTAGGACTGAAGGAGGCTGCAGGGCTTCTTCTACTGAATCTGTCTGCTTCAGGGACTCTAACATACATTTTTAAATTTTTGTGCAAGTAAATTGGCTCTCTCGCACACCAGCTCTGAGTCCTCCTCCATAATTTATGACTGCGCCAGCAACCCTTTGCTCCTTAATCACCCTGACTTCCAGCTCTAAAACTGTGCCAACTGTAATCCTTCCACTTAGATATAAGAGCCCCGTATTTGTTTTATGTTTATTATTTTATATTCCACTTATTATCCTAAAGGCTGAATATGAGACCTTTAGTCCTATAAGATGTCCGAGAAACACAAGTGCTGTCTACTCTTTGGCAAGATGGTAAGAATTGGGGGGGACTCAGAATCACAATAGAGACAGGAAACGTCATGGATGCTTCCTGCACTTGGAATGTGTTTTCAGCCTTTTGTTATAGCCTTAAGATTTACACCCTTGGATAAATAAACCATGGTGCATTAACATAATGGATCACCATATGGCTATTTGAAATTACATGCACAAGATTTCCAACCTCACACACAAATGAGCACATGGGAACATCCTCAGTGCCAGATGTATAACACAAAATCACTTAATGCCCAGGCTAGACGTAGGCAAAGATGACTGTGTGAAGACAAAGATCAACAAATGATCATTTAGAGGAATGTAAATACAAACCCCACTCATTAGTGGGGTTTTTTTCGGGGGGAGAAGGAATTGTATCCTCTGAAATTGAGCATACTTTGATATAAATAGATAAAATTCCTACACAGAATTTAAAATACCAGACTTTTTCATTAACTGTGTCTTACAACTTACAGCAATTCTCAACTACTGTACTGCTTTTTTGTAGGTGCAAGGAATTAGTAAGTGAGCCTCCTCCCACCATCTCCCAAATACAAGGTTTTTATCTTGTTTGTTTTTTGACTGGTTTTAGAGACCCCCTCAGGATCCTCAAGAGTGAAATAGAATGTCTTACTAGAATGTCTTTTTGTTTCCATTTTTTTTTATTTGATTCTTAATACTGTCCCGTCTTGATGGACTGCCAAAGCCAATAATAAACGCCTTTCTCTAGAAGTAGATGATTCAGCCAGGATGTCAATTTGTGTAGTGTTCATGGGACACTTGGGCTGTGCCACTCTTCATGGTGGAGAATCCTCCCATCAGACTGTCTCCTATGTTCCTAACTAGCATGAAGCACCTGTGCTTTTGTCACAAAGTACCACAAACCGGGTGGCTTACAATAGAAATGCATCCCCTCATGGTTCTGGAAGCTAGAACAGAGACCCAGGTGTCAGCAGGCTAGTTCCTTCTTGAGGCACTGAGGGACAGCTTGTTCTGTGCCCCTCTCCAAACTTCTAGGGGTTGCTGGCAAGCCTTGGGGCTCCTTGGGATCATGCCAACTTCTGTACCCATCTTCACATGGCAATCCTCTCTGTGTTCAAAATCCCCTCCTTCTAGGGACACCAGTCCTGGAGCCATGGCTCACCCCAATCCAGTATAACCTCTATTTGATTACATCTGCAAAAAGTCTCTCTCTAAATAAAGCCATGTACCATGAGTACTATGAGTCAGGACTTGAACACAATTTGGTGGGAGACATAATTCAACTCACAACAGCTCGGAAGACAGAGACACATTTTACTGTGCCCCATTCATTCATTTATGCATTCACAGAGGACCTTCAATGCAGGGAGCCCAGTTCGTGCCTCTGGGGAAATAACAGACTTCCCTCAGAGTCCAGAACAAGAAAGTGTCTCTCCCCTCTTGGAACTTACATTCCAGTTGGGAAGATCAACAATCAACAGAGAATCAAACACAAAGTACACATTTCAGGCAATGACCAAGTGTTGAGAAAATGAAACAGGGTGATGGGACAGCTGGCAACAGGTGAGATGGGGGTGTGCCCCCAAACCCCTACCCTGCATCCTCCCTGTGGAAGTTTGTAGTCAAGCGAGGTGACCAGGGAACAAATAATTACATAAATCCATGGAGAAGGACAACCGTGGTCAATGCTTGGGGGATCAAAACGTGAATCTGGCCTCCCCAGGGAAGTACAAGCACAGGGTCTTGAAGTCCTGACACAACAGAACCAATGGGGATGCTATCTATTTTCTCCACACACTTTCCTTTTTTGCTCTAAATGATGCCTTGGTATCTGTGATGTGCCAAGCTTTTCTATCTCAACTCCGAGTTTCAGAAAATGCTCTTAGATATTTGGCTTCAGCATGATCAACTTCTAGGCACAAAGTCTCATATTAAATACTGTGAAGGCCAACTCTTAATACATCATTTAAAATGTTAAAAGTGGAGCTGGGCGCAGTGGCTCACATCTATAACCCCTGGACTGTGGAAGGCCGAGGCAGGAGGATCATTTGAGCCCAGGAGTTCGAGACCAGTGTGGGCCACATAGCAACACCTTGTCTCTACAAAAAAAAAATAAAAAATTCAGCCAGGAGTGGTGGCACACACTTGTAGTCTCAGTTATTTGGAGTGGAAGGATGTCTGAGGTCTGAGTCCAGGAGATTGAGGCTGTGGTGAGCTGTGAGTATGCCACTACCACTCCAGCCTGGGCAACAGAGTAGGACTTTGAGAGAGAGAGAGAGAGAGAGAGAGAGAAGGAATTAAGAGCAAACAACAACAACAAAGTACTAACTGTTTGATTCCATCTTTGCACAGATCGTGACCATTCCTAGCTCCTCCCTACCCTACCCCATGGTTAGAAACTCATGGACCAGCAGCCCCTGGAAGCTTGTTAGACATGCAGAAACTCAGGCCCCCACCCTGACCTACTGAAACAGAATTTGCATTTTACCAGGGTCCCTAGGTGACCTGTTGGCAGATTCAAGATTGAGAAGCACGTCTCGGTATCCCCTTTGTGACTACTTTGTATTTCCTCTTTTTAACATACTGCAGATTCTGCAGAGAGGAGGGTGAGGGTTTACATAGATAGAGAAGATATAGAGTCATCTCTGCATGTCTTTTGGAGTTTGGGAAGGATTTCTGCCTATGTAAAATTAGAGCTTCAGAGCCTATCAGTGAGTTAAGGGGAACTGTTTTATCGTGTATATCAACACTGGAGATTTGCTTCATATACTACTTTTGTAGAATGTTAAGTAACATCTTTCCCCAAGAAAGAGTTAATGCTCAAATGTGCAGTCAAGAAGGCCTGAGAACCAAGCCAGCTTCCAGCAGCTCTATGCTACAGAAGTCAGAATAGAACAAACTCTAAGTACTTAACACCCCCCACAAGGCAAGGCAGGTAACATGATATACCAATGTGTGGTTTGGGGTGTTTTTTCTTTCTAATTTCCTTTCTTAGTTTAGAACCTGAATTTCAACTCCATAGTAGACCACAGCATAGCATTGGGGTCATCCTTAAGAACACCTGGATTCACAACAAGAGCTTGTCAACAGACAATTCCTCATTCATCAGTTATGAGCAGCCCATGGAATGTTATAGCTTGTCTCCATGTTTCAAATGTCACTCATGAAAAACTAAATTAGCTCATTTTGTAAACATTCTGTGACTCTGTCCCCAAATGCATCTAGATATCCTACTCATGCTGGGATCCTGACCACTGGAATAAAGATATATGGCAACTCCCATAGATTACAGAAATCGTTACAAAGTCAAAGTCCAGCACTCTAAAAGTAGATTATGAAATTAATCTGTCCCATGAATACTTTAAAGTTTGTCACAGCATATAATATCTCAGTCTCCCAGGACCTGACACATAGCTTAAATAATGCTTACCAAATACAATAGTCCTGCAAGAGCTTTCCAATAAATCCAAGCTTAGAAGATATCAAAATTTAGATACCGTGAAAGACGGTGTCCTTTCTCGATCAACAGGGCGGTGGACATATATTTTTCCATTCTCATGATCTTCTATAGAAAACAAGCCAATCTCTGGATACTCATCCACACCAGGTCCACTAATTAAATACATTAATGACATATTATCAGACATATTATTGAACAGCTGAAAGAAAAAAGTGGAAAGAAAAAATGGCGGATGAGAACAAACCACTGTGATAAACAGGTATTGCAGCTAGGAAGCAAAGCCCAGCAATGGCATGTCTGGGATATATACTAAAGAAATAAACAGTTATGCAAAGATACAGGGAAAAAGATATTGGTTGTAGTTGGTCGGTCATCATGAGCAATTAGAAATAGTGTAAATGTCCATTAACATGAAAAAACAAACACATAATGATACTACTCTCTTCACATAGCATGGGCTGCTCTGCAGTCTTTTTTAAAAAAACATATTTTTTATTTTAAAATTGTGGGGTACAGTTAAGGATTAGGCATACAAATATGCATCGTTCAGACACCCTTGTTGATAAGGGGGTCCCCCCATCCCCAGACAGATATTGACTACTGTTAATCCCACCTTCTTTCCCCTCCCTGCCCCACCATAGTTTCCCGCCACTATCAATACTTTTCTTATAGTATTATGGTAGAGTTCAAGGTCCACTTATAAGAGAACATGTGATACTCAGATCTTTGTTTCTGTGAGAGATCACTCAGTATTATAAACTCTAATTCAACTCATCTTCAACAAAGCCTTCACCACCCACCACCGGGGAGAGAGAACCTATTCAGTAAATGGTGCTGGGAAAACTGGCTGACCACATGCAGAAAATTCAAACAAGACCCTTATCTATCCCCATACACAAAAATTAACTCTAAATAGATCAGAGACCTAAATGTAAAACCTCAAACCATAAGAACCTTAGAAAATGCAGGACAAACCCTTATGGAAATTGGAACTGGCATCCAATTCCTGAACAAAACCCAAAACCCACAGGCCATAAGAGATAAGATAGACAAGAGGGACCTCATTAAACTGACAAGTTTCTGCAAAGCCAAAGAAACCATCAAGAGAGCAGGGAGACAGCCCACAGACTGGGAAAAAGTATTTGCCAACTCCATGTCTGATAAAGGCCTAACATCTTGAATCTACAAGGAACTCAAACGTGCTGAAAAGAAAAAAACAAACAACCCCATTACAAAGTGGGCAAAAGATATGAACAGACACTTCTCAAAAGAAGACATACAAGCGGACAACAGACACATGAAGAAATGTTCAACCCTGCAGCTTTTAAAGATTTATTTACACCATCTTGGAAAGAGGGGCAGGACACATCGTTAAACAAGAAAGGCAGGTAGCAGAACAATACAGGGTGTGATTTCTTGTCTCTTTAATGCAGATTTGCATTAGCATATCTGTAAAGACATATCTGGAAGAATACATACAATTTGTTAATATTGATTATCCCTTGAAGGAAAGCGAAGTAGTGATCACACTGCTAACATTTAGAAGTCTCACAAAAACAAAGATCTGAGTATCACATGTTCTCACTCATAAGTAGACCTTGAACAACTATAGTAATACTATAAGAAAAGGATTGACAATGGCAGGAATCTATGGGGGTACGCAGGGAGGGGAAGGGAGGTGGGATTAATGGTAGTCAATATCTGTCTGGGGACGGGGGGGCACACCTCATCAACAAAGGTACCTGCACAATGCATATTTGTATACCTAACCCTTAACTGTACCCCACAATTTTAAAATAAAAAATATGTTATTTAAAAAAAAAAGAAAGAGCTTAGAATGAGCCAGCTGATTGTATGCCTGACTTGCCTTAATCTATATAATATTTAAAACATCGCAGTAACTTAGGCACTATCAGTGCCCTATTGTCCAGTGAGGACACGTGAAAGATGTCTAACATACTCAGCAAGAATGTGGTGCATTGGGAGAATGAACCCACTCAGTCCTCCAACTCTTGGGAGTATGCTCTTTTAACCACTGAACCTTGAAAACTTCCTGTAATTGTTATGTTTGCTTGTAACAGTAGGCATGTACTATTTTCATAAATATTATAAAAATATGAAATATTTTACTTTTTTTCTAAGAATCACAGACTATCACAGTTGTAGGAGCACTTAATCAGAGCACAATTCAATGACTCTTTCTAAATGTTAGCTGTTAGAGGAAATGAACAACGTAGACCCAGTGGAAAAATTCTGGCATTCTGACATTGTCATGTGACTCATCAATGAAGTGCAGCAGCGGATATTCAACCTCAGCATGAGAAAAACAAAAAGGAGTGGTGAAGACTGTGATATTCTGGGTAACTCAAGCCCCATCTAACTGTTGCCGTGTGGGAATACAAGCTCCGTGTGGTCAGAACTTCTAATTTTTTAAGGCCTCCAGAATGCAGAATTTTTAATACAATCGCCCTATTTTGAACAATGAATTTTTTAAGAAGATTCTGCATGAGTCAAACAAAACAGGCCTGCAACCTGTACTCAACTAGCCTGTTGCTGTACGTGAGTCTCATCACACACTCACATGGAGAAGTGACTTTCCAAAGTCACAACTCAGGTAGAGGCAAAGAGCACTCTTGAAGCCAGGCATCCGGGAACCAGTCCAGTGTTCCTTCTACTCCCTTTCACTCCCTGGCCTCATTAGCACATAGTATTTCAAGATTTAACATTTCCACCCAAAGGGGCATGCTTACTCAGAGAGAATGACCAGAACCTTTCTGTAGAAGTGGGTGCCTTACCTCACCAATAAGTTTGGGAAAGGGTCCTGAGTCTTCCTCTTCCAGTTCCAAAGTGGTAATAACCCATCTTCTCTTGGTTCGCTGTAGAGACTGATGACTCTCTCCCTGGAAATCGCAGTGACAATGATGACAGTGAGTGCGGTGGTGATGCTAGCCTGGGTTTATTGTACCCTTACTTCATTTACAAGGCCTGAGCTGACACCTGACATGCATTCTCTCTCTCACCCCCACCACAAGCACTTGCTTGTTCTCTTAGCAACCGTAGTCATTTTTGAGTCTGTGGCACATGCCACCCAATGATTTTTGCATGGTTTTTGAAATAATTTTAGGGACTATGCAGATATGGCGTTAAAGATCATTGCCTGCTGTGTGCCATGCACATCCTACAATAGACATACAAATAGTGTTGAGAAAGGCTTTCTCTTTTTTTGAATCTCTTGATCTGCCTCAAAATATTGATGAGAAAGTTTCCATTCAGTGCTGATAGGCCTTTAGCATTTCTCTGTCTGCTAGTCTCTCTTTTAATAAACATACATGCATGTGGGTATGGGGGAAGAGAAGGGAAGGGGGGAGGGAGACAAAAAGGGGGAGGGAGAGGGAAAGGGAGAGGGAGAGGGGACACTTAGACTCAGGCTTTGGGCTCAGATATTTGTCAGGCAAGAGATTCTATAGAATTTAACAACATGGTTTTGTTTGCATTATATATTTTTACAGCTACTGTCTATTTATTACTGGTAAAGCTGGTTTCTAGTCATCTTTATCTGCAAATTCTATCTGCAAAAATGTAAATCCTTTTTCAACAAGTGACTTAGCAATAAAGTGAATTGATCAAAAGAACAACACAGTAAATAATCGGAAGGCAGCATGAGGATCTGGCACAGACCTACAGTGGTGGCGGATGCATGGCTGCATACCTGTACCCGAAAAGATTAAGCCAATTTATTTTAATTCCAAAAAGAAGAAAATGGTGTGGATAAACCTCCAGGCTAGCACTGTATGGTTGATTTCTGATGTTCACAGGCTGCTCATATACTAATTAGACATAAAAGCATCATCTGCAACTCTCTGGAAGTCCCCTCTAGATTCTAAAAGGCCACATGTAGTTACTATTTTATTTTCTGCAAACCGAACATTTGCAGGGCACTAAAGAACTCAAAATTGCAATCCAGTCTCCAAGTAAAATGTAGACTGACTTTATTTATTAAGAAACATATTTCCAACCTCACCTTTGTTTGATTAGTAAGATCACCATATTTTTCTTGTTGGACACTGTTAATGATGCTGACCTTAAAAATAAAAATGATATTAATTAGTAGGTAATATACTTATGAGAATCACATAGAAACTGTCTGGAAATACACAAACCTAGAATTAGAAACAACAAAAAAAGAATGTCTAAATTTAGTTTTGATAAATATGATTTCTTGTTCTCTACATCTCAACTCATGATTCACACTTCTTTTCTCTAACTTAAAGGAGAAATAACCAAAATGTCATTATGGCTGTGCCTTTTATGTCTTATGCCAATAAAACTAGTTTCAATTAAAAAAAAAAGAATTCTGATGCATTACTACCTACCGATAGTAAGGATATTTAAAAACACAAGATACTACTGTTATGTTAATTCACAAAGTAGTAACAAAGCTGTTTATTCAGGATGAACACAGATGTATTTTTATGTACATATGACAAATAACACCAAATGCTAATTTGGCTTTTAAGTGGCAGATTTAAGTGGGCTTTTTGTTTACTTGTTTCTCCCTTATTTTTAGACATTATTTACAGTAATCAATAAAAGAATAGGACTTGGCACTTTACACTTACATAATGATTTACACAGAAGTACCTATTTATATCTCAACAACCTTCCCTCACCCCCCAAAAAAATACATGTACAATAAGACTGTGGAACTAGAAAGAGACGTGTGTGTGTGTGTGTGTGTGTGTGTGTGTGTGTGTGTGTGAGAGAGAGAGAGAGAGAGAGGGAGACAGAGACAAACAGAGAGAGACAGAGGGAGAGAGGAGGTGTCCTCACTGGATAAATAGGATAAAGCAAATGGAGCAAAAAATAAACCAGTCAATTCTCTTAAAAGGTATTTTGGAATTCTTTGTATTTTCTTTGAAACTTACAAATTTTTATACTAAAATAGTTACCAAAAATCTTAGAGTATTTGAGTAACTAAGATTGAGTTTTAATTTAGCACTAAGATTCTTGTCAATTAAAGTAAAAAGAGAAAGTCAGTCTTTAAAAATGAAGCATTTTTAAATTTTTTTATTTTTAATTTTTATTTTTTTATTGTGAAGTTATGGGGTACAGTTAAGGGTTAGGTATACAACTGTGTTTCATTCAGGCACGCTGTTGATATGGGGTGTTTCCCCGTTCCCAGACAGATATTTGCCACTGTTAATCCCATCTCCCTCCCGCCACCATAGTTTAATGAAACCTTTCCCTGCTATAGTCTTCCCTTTTAAAGAAAAATTTTATGACAAAATGCTTTAGCATGCAAAAATAGAGAATGATATAATGACACCCATCACCCAACTCTACCAAACCTTAACATTTTTACCATGTTTGTTTCAGAGTGTAAAGAGATATAATTCATTACAGATAAAATGGGAACTTCCTGTGTACTCTTCCTTCATCTCACTACTTACCTCTTTTTTCCACAGAAGTACTGTCATTCTCATCCTAAATTATATTTAGCATTTCAATGCACATGTTTAAACCTTTGCCTTATGCATCTATATACATATATGGATATATATATTCACAACAACATGTAAATTTTTTATGGTTTTGGTTTTTAGATCACAGTACACAGTAAACATCATCCCATAACTTGTTTTTATATTTAATGTTGCTTTTTAGTTATGGTGTGTGTGTGTGTGTGTGTGTGTGTGTGTGTGTGTGTGTGTGTGTGTGTGTTTTGATACCTGTAGTTCTAGGGCATTCATTTTCACTGCCTATAGCATTTCACTATAGCCAACAATGTATTTAACCATTCTCCTAGTGATGGTCATTTAGGTTGGTTCCAGCTTTTCATTATTACCAAAAAATGCTGAAGTAATAAACATCCATGTACATATCAAAAGTTCTCTGCAGCAGCAGTTTTCAAAGTGCAGTTAACTGACAGTCCCCACAACCCTCTCAGAGTCCACAAGGCCAAACTCTTTCATGATGACTCTCAGGCATTGTTTGCCTATGTCGCTGTATGCCATCTGCACTGATGGCACAAAACAACAGTGGGTGACATTGTGGATGCCTTAGCGCAAATGAAGGCAGTGGAATCAAGCTCTCTGAGTGGTCATTATGTTCTGTGCTTGCAGGAAGAACAGAACAGAGAAGAAAAAAGAAATCTAGGTTCATCTGAGAATGGAGTAATTGGTGAATTTACTCAGTTATTGTAATCACTTGAGAATCAATGAGGTAGTAAAAATTATCAATTGTGTTAAATTGTAACACTTGAATGTACATCTCCTAAATATTCTTTGTGACAAGTGATGTATGAATAAAGCACAACTGCTGTGCCCCAAAGTAGAATGCTACATCTTCAAAGAAAACATGTGTGGTTGTTTGAGTTTCTAGTTGAACAAGCCATTTTTTTTTAGATTGGAAAATGTAGTTTGTTTAAAAAGTAAATTGGAAAGAGAGAGAGAGGGGGGGAGGAAATTCACCACCTCAAGGAATGGGAGGGGACCAAAGCTTAGGGAAACATGGCCCAGCCATAACTCAAAGAGCCACATGGCCAGAACAGAGTTCAACAAAACCAATAGCCCACAAGCCACTTTTTAAATGTAATTCCATTTTACTTGAAGAAACAACGGTCAAACTGTGATGAATTGAACTGGGGTGTTTGATACAGAGTTCACTGATGGCAAACAAAATGAGGCTGTCACTTCAAGAAAAACAATGGACAATATCAGTTCCCAGTGATAGCCGTAAGCTTTCAAGCAAACATCAGGCTTTTAGAAAACTTGTGTCTACCACTATAAGCTTGACAGCATCCCAATAATTAAAGGTTTTTTGATGATGTCAGTGGAGATATTAATGAATGTAACTTTTTTTATTTTATAGACTGAAATACGTCAACATTTGGAATATCAACAAGCCAATCGTTTTCTAATGGTCAACACATTATGTTCCAAAACCATGCATAGGTAAAAGAGTCATTTAAAGTGCAAGAGAGGCCAATGAATTTTAAGATAACAGTAGAAAAAAGCTCATTAAGATGGCTTCAGATGTCACATTGCAAGTCAATGTTAAGACACTAGCACATGTCAAGTTTTGGTGTAATATCAAAGAAGAATATCCACAATTATCTGCTCAAGGTTATTAAAATAGTCCTCCCTTTTGAAATATATATGTATATGAGGCCAGAATTTCCTCAGGTACTTCAACCAAACAAATTCACAACAGACTGAATGCAGAAGAGAATACAGAGAATCCAGCTGTCTCCTTTGAAGCTGGACATTCAAACTCTTTGCAAAAGTATATAAACAGTTCTACTCTTCTCACTAAGAGAAATTTTGAAAAATATGGCTATTTTTCATAAAACATGCAATTTCTATTAACATGGAATGGGCTTATTATTGTTATCATTAATGAACTGAGAAATATGTTTAAAATTTCCCAGTTTTAATTTCTAATGTGGTATCAGCAAATATAACCCATAAGAAAAACTCTGGGGTTTATACCTAACTTAACAAGGGCAGAGTGAGTACATCCTCAACCTACCTAGATTCTGCCAGGTCACCCCCACCTGTGTTTGCAATATCTATCCTTATTCAAGATCATATCACAACACAATCACAAATGCATTTGAAAGTAGTTACATGGGAAAGAAGAATCATTCTTCATGTGTTCATTTCTTGTGGCCAGCCATTCTTATTGTGGGTGGGTAATATTATTGGGTTGTTTCATCAATGTCAAAGATAATAATATTTGTTTCCTGCCAGATAATATTTCTATCTATTTACCTAAGGGAAAAGAATTTTTAAATTCTTTAAGTTCCAAAATTTCAAGCTGATTCATATAGACAATGAATGCTTCTTGATGAGTGTTGGTAGTTCTAAATTAAGGGCTTACCAGGTGTATAATTTTAAAAGAGAAAATTGCAGTTCTTGCAAAAGAATAAAAATGTTAATTCAGTTTGTAAAACGGGTGTGTGTTTCCAGGTGGCCAAGGTTATTAACGAAGAGTATGTTGAGGTTTCATGTCCTCTCTGGACCTCAGTTTCCCCTTCTGTAAATTGAGGGTACTTAATAAGGTGACTTTAAGGGCCATTTTAACACTAAGTCTCTGCAAATTCATTTCATTATGTCAGCACATAAATGGCACAGCTGACAGTAACGTAAGAGCAGGCGGTGTGCTCAAAAAGAGGCTTGAAAAGGTGGATATTTATAGTTTGCAACAGAGAGGCCTGAATTTTCACGTTGTTGTACTTTTCATTTCTGCACTCTCTCTGCACGCCTAAGAAATTAACTTGAGATCTCTCATCTGATTGATGCAGGAAGACTAGAAATTGTGATATTTGCTATAATGATTTGGTAAGTACTCTTATTATATTTCCTATCCATGCCAATTTTAGGCAGTTTGTCTAAAGAGGATATCATTCAAAAGATTTACATAATGCTTTCTATAATGGTGGGAGGAAGGTGGGGAGAGACTCTCCCCAGCTGCCATGTCCAACAAACTTCTTTATCAGAGGGTGCCAGGCAGGCATATGATTGCATGGTACACCTTGCACATCATTTAACAGATGGGCAGGACATGGGCATATAACCACTGTCATTCAGGCTGACCTGGCTGGATAGCTGTGGCACATTTTGGAGGGAAATTATCTGAGTAAATGAAGGTGTGGTGTCTATATAGGGTTACTAAAGAACTAAGGAGTCTATATAGAAATCATTCCCAAAATGCTTGAAAATGTTTCATTTTTGAATACAAATGTTCATTCAAGGACAATCTGGGTCCTAGAAACTAGCATTTGAATTTCCTATGTGAGATCCCTGTAGAGATTCTTTTCATCTCTAATACCTCTCTTTTGGGCTCTAGACTGGGGCAATATAGGGGAACCCTGTGTAAAGATGAAACGTTCTCACCTTTGCTGTCCAGTGTGGTAGTCCCTAGCCAAGCGTGGCTCACTGAGAACCTGAAATATGGCTAGTGCTAGTGTAGACTTGATTTTAAATTGTATTTAATTTTAGTTCATTTAAACTGCCACACACGACTAGTGGCTACTGCACTGACCAACATAATAGTTTGGAGTAGTGGTTAAGCCTGTAGGTTTATGAATTAAACGGCCTATTCCTATTCCACCACTTGCTAGCTGTATGAGGTCGGGCAGGTAATTGGCCCTCTCTGAGTCTGAATTTCCTCATCTGTGCATACACACACACACATATATTTGTAAACATATACTGTAAACATATATGTGCATGTATATTTAATCTTCACAACAGTCCAATCGTGAAGGTACTGTTATTATCCCTTTTTAACACAAAACATTCATACATAAAGTAGTTGGGACCATATGGGCTAAGTATTTGCTACTTTTCCTATTTTAGTCTCTAGGCGACATTTCTGCTTACATCTCTCACAATCAACCCAAATTCAACATGCCTGAGATAGACAGCACAGCCTATTTTCTCACAGACCTGGTTTGTCTTCAAGGCACCCTAATCGACAAAAGACACTTACCTGCTAGAGTTCAGAGGTCACCCTTGATACCTCTTCCTCCCTCATCCCCACATTCAAGTTCTGTCCATTTCATTTCCTAAGCCTCCCTCAAGTCTGCCCACTCTTCTCTGTCCCCACCTCCAATAGTTGAAGTTTCCACAGTCTTTAGAATGCACCCAACCAGCCTTCTGATGGGTTGAACAAGGTCCCTGACAACATAATTTGATGTCCTCCTAATCCCCCTGTGAATGTGACCTTATTTGGAAGTAGGATATATGCAGATGTAATCAAGTTAAGATGGAGTCATACTGGTTTTGAGTGGGTCCTAATTCCACTACAGGTGTCTTTATAAGAAGTGAGAAAAGATGGAGATAAACAAACACAAGGGGAGAATGTTGTGTAAGGACAGAAGTGGAAACTGGCGTGGAACAGCTGCAGCAAGAGATGCCTAGGATGGTAGTGACCACCAGAAGCCAGAAGAGGCAAAGAAGTGTTCCTTCCAGTCTCAGGGGAAGTTTGGTCCTGTGGATACCTTGATTTCAAACTTCTAGCCCCTAGAACTGTGAGAGAGTAAATGTCTCATATTTATATATTTTGTTTTTTTGTTTTGTTTTGTCAGTTGAATTGGCAAAAGTTTAAAGATTGACATATCTCAGGCTAGCCCTGATCAAATGACTGAAAAAGTCCTTTATAACAATTAAAATTAGGCTTACTATATATATATATATATATTTGTGGCACTTTGGGCAGTGCTAGGACACTAACTCACTTTTCTAACACACTCCATACACTGAAGCTTGGGTGATCTCATAGTGTCATTGACCTCATTATGTTGCAGTATCAACCATCCTCCCACTCCTTAGGACATAGTATGAACTTTGTTTAAAAGATAATGCAATTCAGAATTTCCCAGATTAAAAACACACCACCACCAACACATCTAACAGGTTTTCCTAATTGTCTGATTTCCTTCTCTTAAAGCCTCCCTCTTCTTACAGTTGGCCACAGTCCAAAGCTGAGGAGTCATGGCCTCTTAGGATCAGAAATGACAAAAGAGGGGAGAAAGACTTCACATCCATGGAGTGTCATTACTTGTCACTGGGCCTGGAACAAAACCATAAACCTGCAGAGCAGAGTCCTGACTTTGTGATTTGGCTTCATGAAAGAATGACCAAGCAAGGGCGTGGCGATTTCAGAGGAAAAGTATTGTAGATATAATAACTCCACCTCAGAATATATATTAGCTGCTAGATGCAGAGATCAGGGGAGGGGCGGTAGGGACCTGTTATGGACATCAGAAATGATTATAAACTAATTTAGGAAGAAAAGTCAAGATGTGGGAATGGAATAATTCACATATAGCCAATCTGGCAAATAATTGAGTATCTACTGGGTGTAAAACTCTTTGTCCAATTAAAGGTCATCACTCTGGTTACTAAAAATGTCTGATACCTACTGAATCATGTTCTCCATGTGTGTCTTGATTCCCTGGAATCTATTATATTATATAAAGCTGCTGTCAGTAATCACTGAAATACAGTCCACAGTCCAGTCTCTATTGCCCACCTCCACCCAACACAAACTCAGACCTGAGTTGATTTGCTCGGGCACCGCACAGAGGGAGGAGAACACAGCTCTGTTTCCTGATGAGACTCGTTGGGGGAACTGAAAAGGATGGAACCAGGATCTGATTCAAATTCATGCTAACATAAACTATTAAAACAGGGTTCTAGGAAGCATTAGACATAAAATTAATGTGCTGTCTGATTAAGAACACTCACCATGCCATTATTGTTAAAAATCAAAAAACAATAGATATTGGCATGGATGCAGTGTAAAGGGAACACTCATACACTGTTGGTGGGAGTGAAAATTAGTACAACTTCTGTGGAAATCGGTATGGAGATTTCTCAAAGAACTATAAAAGTAGTCTGCCATCCAAACCAGTCATTCCACTACTTGGTATCTACTCAAAGGAATAGAGGTCGTCATACAAAACATACACATTCACATGTATGTTTATTGCAGCACAATTCACAATTGCAAAGATGTGGAATCAACATAAATGTCCATCAACTGATCAGTGGACAATGAAAATGTGTGTATACCTGAGTGCCAAAAAAGTGTACACATTTTAAGTATGACGTTCCCTCAAAAGACGATGTTAATCAAATGAATGCTAGCATCACCATGCAAAGAAAATGGCAGAAGCATGATAGAAACATGAGCGAATGTCATAATACTACACATTGCTACCGTAATTCAATTCAACTTAGAAAAGTAATACACAGATAACATTGTTTAAAATGTGTATACATTTTCTGGCACCCCTGTGTATACCATGGAATAATTTTCATCCGTTATAAAAAAGAATGAAAAAAATGTCCTTTGCAGCAACTTGGATGGAATGAGAGGCCACTCTCCTAAGTGAAGTGACACAGTAATAGAAAAGCAAGTACCACATGTTCTCATTTATAAGTGGGAGCTAAACTAAGGAACTGCAAAGGTGTAGAGAATGGTACAATGAGCATTGGAGACTCGGGATGGGGAGGGCGGGAAGGGAGGAGGGATAAATAAATCACCTGTTGGGTACAATGTGCATAGGTAGGGGTGGTAGACACACTTAAAGTCCAGAATTCCTCGCCACTGTTCAATGCATCCATGTAATTAAAAACCATCTGCACACCCTAAAACTATTGAAATTAATAATAGTAATAATAATTTTAAAAACCACTCAGATTGTTTTTTTTTTTTTCTTTTTCAAGACAGGCTAGAGTGCAGTCGTGAAATCATAGTTCACTGTAGCCTCAAACTCCTGGACACAAGTGATCCTCCTGCTTCAGCCTCCCTGGTACCTAGGACTACATGCACGCACCACCACATCAAGCTAATTTTTGTTTTTATTTTTGTAAAGACAGGGGTCTTACTACATTGTGCAGCCTGGTCTCATACTCCCGGCCTCAAGAAATTCTCCTGCCTTGGCCTCCCAAAGTGCTGCGATTATAGACGTGAACAACTGCACCTGACTCGCAATTCTTGATATGGCAAAATGTGACCAAGAAAATGCTCCAAACTCCAAGCATCTGGCACCAAATAAGGCACCACTTTCAGAAAGAGAGACTGTGTTCCTCATTAGACAGGGAACCTCTCCCCCACCCCGCACATTTTGTTTACTGCTGTATCCTCAGGGCTTATTAAAGTATCTGGCCCAGAGCAGGTGTCCAGTTAATAGATGCAACATGAGCTCTGAATGAATACAGCCAACGATTTTCACTGCAATTCAGAAAACAGAAAAACACAGACACAAGAACACACAGGCTGAATTGTCCTGTGCTGCCGTATGTGCACCATAGTAAACTATGTATGTAGTCAGGGAGACAAAGAAAGACAAGGGTTGTTAAAGGAAAAAAAATGAAGGGTTGCATAATATTTTGAAATAAGTATCCTTGGCTACAAAGATCAATAACAAGGGTGGTGCCAGGCAGAAGCTGAAGATGGACAGGCAGCTGCTAGGCAGACATCCTTTTTGTGTAAGGTCTCCTTGGCCTCTGTGCAAGGTGGTGATTTCTGCAGTCTTTGTGGTAGTTTTTGTTATCAGGCATATAGGCTGAGAGCCCTCTCTTCATGGCCTTCCCTGGCTCTGTCAGGATTTTTATTTTTTTAAATGTTGATTCTGACAACTCTCACATCACCAAGCCATTTCATGCTTACTCTCACAACCAGTGGGTCAGATAACTTCATTTTCAGGTGAAGAAAATAAGGCTCAATAAGGTTATGTTAAAAACCCTGATGCCCAGGCTGCACCCCCAATCCATTCAGTCTGAAGCTCAGAGGGCAGCACCCAGGCATCGAGATTCTTTGAAACTCCTGAGTGAGTCCTACTTCAGCCAAGGCGAAGAGCAAAGTCAGGTTAACCCAGGTTACCAACCAGAAGAGGACAAGCCTGGGTCAGGAAGCTAAGCAGATCCATCCAGAACCTGCAGTCTTACCCCTGACCAACAGGGCCACCTCTGCCCTCAACTGACATTAGAAAGAATAAATGATTCTCTCTCTTTTCCTCTAGAAAGCCAATTAAGCAGATGGTAACTAACAAGCATATGCAACATTAGCTCTGTCCACCATAAGTGCAACCAGAACAAGCCAGTATGTTTCCACCCCTAGTTTCACTGTTTGTAATCCTGTTTGAGCAGTAACATTGGGGGTGGGTTTTCTCCCATCCCCAAGGGTCTGCTTAAATTGTCTTTGACAAGGACAGCTGAAATTTTCTCAGTCTTACATATAGTGTGGATAGAATTATTGTCAGAAAACGTATGTGTTGATGTACTCTAAGTAAAAATTGTGTGTCATATAAATCATTTTTAAGACCAATCCCCTTATCCCCCAAAATAGATTGGGATGCTTGACACCCCCTCTTTAAATAAATCCAGAGGCCACAACCTATATCACCCTAAAGATGGCCAAGCTCTGGCTCCCAGCAGCACACCTGCCCTTCCTTCTTGCCAATCTCTGAGGGTCACACTCAGTCCCTCTTTGCCTCCCTGAGCCTGGAGGGGGCAAAGCCCCTGGGTGGATGGTTTCCATTTTCAACCCCTGAATTCGGGGCACTGATTCTTGCTCACCTGCAGCAGACACAGCAGCAGCACTGGAAGCAGCAGCAGCACTGGAAGCAGCAGCAGCGAGGTGTTCCTCCCAGAGCTCATGCCCGCGTGCTGATGGCCAAGATGCCCCCAGATGGTGTGGGCCCTCGTGAGTCCTCTGAGCTGGTGTCACCAGAGCTAACACCCTCCCTTCCAGCTGGGGGATCCTTCTCTAACAGCGATCAGATCAGACTGACCCAGACGCTTTCGTCCCAACTTGTTCCTCCCTTTTCTCAGCTGTTCTTGAGTTTATCAGAGGGGAGTGGGCCAACTCTTAAGCTTTAACCTCCTTTGTGCAGTGGAGTTCCTAGGAAGGGTGGAGTGGAGGATAACACTGCTGGGGTCACACCTGCAGGAGGACCGACTGGGGGTTGGCCTCCAGGAGACAGGCTCAGCCCAAGGAATGTAAAACCAGCACCTGTGGGAAAGTAGAGTTTCTGTTTGTTTTCTTGTTGGTTTTTGGTTTCAAAACAGAATACCCAATAGTTCTTTCTCTAGTAGGGTATTTAGCGATTCTTTCCTATAACCCCTATCCTCTTAAAAAACCAAAAACTAGAAAATGACTGCAAGAAAGAATAACTTTATTAAGGAGGGGAGGGGTGGGAAGAAAGAAATAAAAGTGGGAAAAAATCTTTTACTTTCCAAAGCACTAAATATCTTTATTCCAACCTTGTCTTAGGGCTCTGGGGTTTACAGACTATTTCTACCGAAACCTCTTTTAAACCTAGATTAATCTGCCTTTTTGAGTTTGGTATTAAAGGAGAGAGGAGAGAGAGGAAAGAGTCTCCCTGTGGACAGGGTTTTTGTGGCAACCTGGGAGTTTTTGCATTAGAATTCAGAATAAAGGGACCCTTGGGATTCTATTATGCTAATCCTTAAGGTAGCAAGGAGCAAGTTTTAAAACACAATCTGTGATACATTAACCCTGATAGCCTTAACATGACCTCGTTATCACTTTACCTTGTTTAAGAGTAATCGATTCTTTCACAGGTAAAATAGAAAGCAAACTTTCTAGACTTACTTACATAGCTCGATGAGATGCTGCTGAATATTTTTATTTGAATAATTTATTATTTTTGTTAAGTTAATAGCTCATTATTGAACAGAGTCATGCATGTCATTTTAAGGTTGGTCTCTAGATCTCTCATGTATAAAGAGAAATTGGATACTTTGTTCATTTTCAAGTGGATCGGTCTAGCATGGTAGCCAACTAAAAAGCCTAAGGCCATGCTTGGCCCCACACAGGGTTCATCTGGATGGGGCTGGGGATGCCAGTGAAGGGTTCCACTCTCACATTTGTTTTAAGTTTGAAGAAGCTGGTACTTTAATATATTAGAAACCACATCATCTTCAACATTCTCAAGCATTTAAAAATAACTGAGCAAAATGCCAGGTGTCTGTAAGGCAACCCTTCTCTGCTAGGCTGTGAGTCCTGCAACTCAGCCAGCCATGCTGGGCTTTGCCCACTGCTGCATCCGGGGAGTCTGAGTTAGAAGGTACCCGGATTCTCTTTCTATTGGAAGCAACTGTAATTCCAGTGCCAAAAGTCTAGTGTGCCTGTGTCCCTAGAGGTGCAGTAATACTTTACAGCCACATGATGGCAGCTCCCAGCTCCCAGTAAGCTGACAAAGAAACATGAGATGAAAGTTACTTGACGGCTACAAGGAGGTGTGAGCTACAATAATTTACCCAGACCCAGCCTTCTCTCCTTGTCTGTTGAGGGGTACCCCAATCTATCTTAAATTCTCAATATTCTTGTTTTTTAGAATGATGACAGCATCATGAGTGTCTCTAAGAACGTATTAGATTTGTCTTGAATATTATCCTTGTCCCAGAAGTTCCCACAAACATCAGGCATTGACTGAGCTTTCTTTCCAGGGCTGTCAGTCAAAGAAACTTGAACTTGTCCACTTGTTGTCTTTTCAGGGAACAGCATGATGTGCGGAAGGTTCCACTTGTTCAGGAACTGAGAAGAAAGCATTTGATTCACCACATTCTAACGAAAGCCAGCAACAACTTGGGCCAGAAAACTCAGGGCTCCTGGAAATGTGGCAGAACAGATCCTAACACCCCTAGCCTGTGTCTCATCCCTGTCTCCCTTCTCCCCACCTCCACCCACTGAGGCAAGGAATGGAGGAGAGAGTGTCCGCTGTTTTCTGCATGGCTAATGTGCAAAAAGAGCTCAGGGCCACTGCTTCCTGTTGAGAATGGATGGAGTGCATTCTTTCCACTTTGAGAAACCAGATGGCAGCTAGAAGGATGTCACTGGTGGAGAATGAGGGTGACTGCAAGCCTGAAAACCTGGCGTTCCCACCTGGCTTGGAGTCCTGTCTATACAGTGGCCTGGATGGTCAGGCCCCTGGCCCAACTGAGAGGAAGGGAATTGAAGGGGACAGCAGGACTCAGAGATGATAACCAAAGCACCCCACAATGCCTCCATTGGGCGTTTTTCATATGGACGGAGAAATGACATGGTTGGGCAGGGGCCTTCTTTTGACTGCAGAGCGCACACTGCATGTACACAGAGGCAGGGTGGCGTCTTGATGCCTTCTCCATGGAGGTGAGGCAACCACAGGGAATGTGCTGGAAGAGTGGCCTATGATGGAGGAAATGTGGGTGCTCCCCCCTTAGTGTTTCCTTTCTGTCCCCAACATTGGAGGAGGCAGAGCCTGGGAGAGGGAAGGAAAAGAGGTGTCACAATGGCAGCGCATGGCCATGTCCTACGATATCAGTGCTAGATAGAAAGTGAAATAGAGGGGCAAGTAAGTCCCCCCACTGCACGCACACCCACCCTGGAGTCCAGCCCACCAGCGAGGGTGGGGAGAGGTTGGATTTCAATTGAGGCTGACACTGAAATGTTAAGTTGTGCTGGTTTTACTAGCTGAAGTGGCTGGTAAAAATGTGCCCAAGATGTAACTGAGGCTAGAAACTGCATGGCCAAAGACTCAGATTAGGGCAGAATAAATGGCTCATGTTCATGGGTCCACTGACTCAAGACCTCTTATGTTCACTCATTTAAAATTCATTTTCCAGTCAAATAATTCTGAATTCAAGATCCTGTTCTTCATAACCTCAAGAAAAGCTTAATTTCTCAGAACAGTCTTGAGAAGTGTTTTTTTAAAAAAACCAGTCAGGGAGCATTGAGTTCCCAGTCATAGTGAAGTAGATCCCATAAGACCAGCTCTGCCAGGCTGAACAACTGTCAACAAATATGAAGACAACGACCTGGAGTGAAGGTTGTGCAGGGTGACTACAGGCAGGCAGAACCTGGAAGGAGTTGGATGCCCGGAAGGGACAGCAACTCAGATCCCTGGGTGGACAGAGGATGGACACAGCAGGTGGAGTGAGATGGTGATTGGACAGTGATGAGTGGGCACGTGGCATCCACTGTACAGCTTGTTCAGCTTTTCTGCATGTTTAAAAACATTTTTATAAGACAATGTTGGAGGAAAAATATCAGAAAAGTATATTTGGCTCCATCAAAGAAAAGTTCAAGTTATTACTAAGTGGAGTTTCACCCAATACCTAATAGTGTGTGTCTAGTTGTACCCCAATATCTTGCCAAATGTACAAGAACTGGAGTTCACCAGACTTCATGTTAGAATAGAATAATCTGTCATTTGTACTTCTGATTTATTTTCAGTGATGAAGACTTTTTTTTCCCCCTTCTATTTTGATTGCTTTAGTAGTCACACAGTTTGACCAGAAAATGTGGTCCTTTGGTCCTTGTGTTGCAGTATGTTGGGTCAGCCACCAAGAGCTGGCCAAAAATTTCCTTTGACAGATTTTAATGTCTTGCCCCAATTGTTTCAGCTAACTTGTAGTTACAGATGAGCAATTAGGAAAGCGAAAACCAAAAAAAAGGTGTGTATCAGATATATCACATTGAAGACTTTTTCACTTCTCTCAAGTACATCCCAATATCAATAATACTGATAGGAGGATCGCCAAGCTCTTACAAGTCATTTATGTAAATAAATGTTTATGCTTCTTTAGGGAAAAATAAGAAAGGGGAAGGGGAAATTTAAGAGGCTGTTTAAACTCCCACAGGAAAACCAGTATATACTTCCTAAAAATCAGAACATCCTCAATTAAGCTTGTTAAGTCATCAATATTACATAATTTCTATAATTAAAAAGCATTTCATTCCAGTATTTAGAAAACAGAAAACACTGCAGGAAAGACGCCAAGTCTTCCTTTTCTTTCTCTTCACTTTGTTAGGGGAGATAATAATCAAGAGAAGAGTTTAGAGGAAAGGCTTGGGCAAAAGTGGTGAAGATCCTTGTAAACCTGGCCAAAATGACCAAGTGGATGAAAGGGTCAGGGAAGGCAGAGTGAGTGTTCCCGTGTCTGGAGTTTAAAAGCAAAAGGACAATGTGGTGGGGTGGGTACCTACCTGGTCTGAAGTCAACTTGTGGCACAGATTATCACAGGCCATAAATCACTCACTTTAGCAATCCATTCTTGAGGTAAACAGCCAGTCAAGTGCCTTTAAGTTCTGGAGCATACAGGACTAGATAAGCAAATGGCTTGCTTGGGGTTGGGGGAGCACAGCCTGCTAGCCATTAGAGTACCAAGAAAGCAGTCAACTCAAACTTGGAGGCTTTTTAAGTACCAGAAAAGCAGGTTTCTCAAACTTGAATGTGTCAAAGATCTCCTTAAAATTCAGATTTTTGACTCAACAGACCTGGGGAGGGCTCACGATTTGAGTAGCAAGGCATAAAATTGTACTAGCTTAATGTAGTATAGAATTAAATATGCATTATTAGTTTTCTTTAAAATATTTCAGCTCAGATCATTATATTCATGACTATCCCATTTTTTAAAATTCCATATATATTTCCCAGTGTTATTACAGATAATACTTTAAATACTAAATTTCTGAGGATAGCTATTCAAATTGCATTTTATGAACAGAGATCTCTATGAAGTTTTTAATAAATTAATGATTTATATTACTTAATTGAACATTATTTTATGCTAGATACAGTGTTTTATGATATGGTAATGTTCAATGAATCAAAAAAAATCTTCCAACAGCACCTAACTACATATAATAAACCATTTAATTCTCTAATGGTAGAATGAAGCTAAATAAAGAGCATGCTTTGGTCTGAAGTCAAACAATCCTTTTCTCTAAAAACCTTTATATTTGATTAGAAGGCACTCGCTGGACAAATTCACTGCTCTCTGAAAGGGTTTAGTCGCCACCTTGTGGCTAAGAAAATAGCAATACCCAAAAATAACAGCATTTCTTGTACAGCCTGCCCATTCTCCCCCAAAAAGATTAAAAATCTCCACCATGGTTAATTTTCAAACCATACCAAAAAATTATTTTTTAAACCCCAAAACACTTCTGCCACAATTTGGTAAACTCAAAGGAATGTACCTCATTGTTAAAGGTGGGATTAGAAAGAGGAGCCAAGGGCATTTCACTATGCTTTACAGCGAGTGCTGCTCAAAACTGCTGTCTCCTGACCAGGCCACTTCCTCGAAAGAGACCTACTCACTTCCGGATATGAACATTAAGGTGCAAACTCATTATTTCCCATGTTACCTTAATTTTATACTTACCAAATTTGCATCCTGCTCCTCTAACTACTCCTCAATACCTTTTGGTGGGGGGGGGGGGGCAGGGGTAATAAGGGAAACAGGGACTCAAGAAATTCACAGCAATGCTTCTCAGATATATCAAGTGATGTTAAAGTGTGCTTAGTTTACATATGCCACTTGGTATTAAGACAGGAGTTGGAAAGAATTTCATCCAAGTATTTATTTGAAATAATCAGGGAGAAAATAAAGACACACTTCAGAACAGACCTGCATAGGCAAGGCAAGGTGGCTCATGCCTGTAATCCCAGCACTTTGGGAGGCCCAGGAAGGAGGACTAATTTAGGCTAAGAGTATGAGACCGGCCTGGGCAACAAGTGAGATCCCATCTCTACTAAAAAAAAAAAAAGAAAGAAAAGAAAATTAGCAGGGCATGGTGGCATTTGCCTATAGTCCCAGCTATTCTGGACTTCCTGCTGAGACAGGAAGATTGCTTGACCCCAGAAAGTTGAGGCTGCAGTGAGCATGACCATGTCACTATACTCCAGCCTGGTTGATAGAGTGAGACCCTATCTCAAATAAAAAAAAAGGGAGATGCAAAACAAAACAATACCAGAAAAATCCAGACAATATTGTGTTGCTTTTAATTCATCTCAAGGAAGGAGAACTCCAAGTTCACAAAAACTTACATGAATTCTGTTTTATTGCATATAAAACCAAACATACAATCATATAACAGCAAATAACAAACATGCTGAATATTTTCAGGCCATTTTGAATGGTGTCCCAGACTTGTGCATAAATAAATAATAAACACTGCTTCTGAATTACCTTGAAATGCAGTACCACCAAGTTTTATGTTGTTTTGTAGCTATTCAAGTAGATGAACATAAAGGAAGGAGGAAACAGACAATATTTCTATCACATAAGGTAGAAATTCTTATGTTTTCCTGGAAGTAACCTCATAGCCCCAAGAACTGCAAGCCGTTTTCCTTTGAGCTATTAGGTGTCACAAGACCAGTGCTATCCTCTCCCCCATCGCTTTTATCATAGGCCACCAATTCTCCCAAGTCCAAGTTTGCTACAAGCCTATAGCCCATTCAGTCATTAAAGACTTGGAAAAGAGGAGACCTCAACAATCGTAGCAAATACTGATAAGTTTTTATAGTTCATTTTTGTACTTTGTGATTTTTTCTACTAAATGAGTCTAAGCCTGAAATATTTTTTCTTGTATTTTTAAAAATAATCTTGGACTGTTTTAATTGGTTGAAATGTAGGGTATATGTAAATGAGAGGCACTTCTTGGAAATACGACAACTTGTGTCACTAGACTAGCAGGACATTTAATGGTTTAAACTAGATGAACTGAACGAGTTTATGATTCAATTTCCAATGCTGTCTACTTGAAAACAGCAAGATCTTACCTGCAGCATTTATTCAGTTCATTAAGATGGGTTAGATATGTGCATCAGAAACCATAAAACTAAAATTGTGCTTATGTCAATTCTGTAATAAAGCTAACTTTTAAAAACTTAATGCTATTCATTAAGAGCTCTGATCCGATCAGAATAATACTGGCCAAAATCAACAACCTGAGGCAGAAAAAGGAAACAAGAAAAGTCACTTTTAAAATGGTTTGAACACATGAAGTTACGACTATTCTCCAAATTATGAAATCAACTTCAGTTAAAAGGGCTAGGAACAAACGAATGAGGCATTACCTCTAAATTTCTTAATCATGATGGTCTTCAACTGAGATACACACAGCAAGGAGAAGTAAGCCCCTTCGCTCTCAACCGTTCAAGGTTTCTAAGAGTACTCACATAGGTGTGTCACAGGGAAAGGCAGCAACGCAGCATCATCCCTTTAACATTATGAGGAGTGAATACTCGTGTATATAAAAGCATGCTTATGGCTATTTGCTGGCCATGAGACTTCATAAAGAGCTACATCAAAATCTAACAGAGGAAGAATTGTAAGTGAGGCCCCAGCCATGGATAATGGACTAATCTGTGCTCACAAGCAACAAGGCAGGCAAAGGACAAAAGTAACCTCACAAAAACTAAGAGGAGTGCTATGCTTTCCAAATACAAAACATACGCCGAGTACAATAGTTATAGCACATCTGAGGACTATGGAAGTAGCAATTACTATACTTACATCTCTTGTTCATATAAAGATTTCAGATCTTAGCGTAAGAGCATGCTTTCTCATGTATGTTGGTGTGAGATAAAGACACAAGAGGGTAACAGGACAAATCTGAAAATAAAGTCCTAAAAGAAAAAGGCTTCCATAAAATATGCTCATATATTTCTTAGTATAATTAAAATCAAATTTTAAAAGATCTTAAAATCTAATCTTTGCACATGGTTTTAATTATAACTACACTGTGACCTTATGCTGTTTTTGATGATACTTACCGCTGTGTAAAAAGCTTGCAAGCCATTATATATTTTCAAATAAAAAATGTCAAGTTTTTCATTTGCCCCAAAGGTGAAAAAAACAGAAACATGTATGTAAAAAACAAATACAATAATTGTTTACAGGGATAAAATCAACTACAGGCATTAAAACACACTGCACAAATGACAGAAAGCTCACAGCAAATTTATAGGAAAAAAATAGATGTTATTTAGCTGCAGTTAAATAAACTTTTAGGGGAGCCAGGAAGCCATGAGACCAGATAGGGTGTTCAAAACACTCACATCCTACTCCCCTCCACATTGGATGGTGTCCTCTCCTGCTCCTGACCTTCACGCAAAATTATAAAATCCTGTTCCTGCAAACTAAAACAGATCATTATTTTTGACTAAGGACAACAGGATTTGGGTCCCAAATCAGTAACTTAATAAAGATTACATTCACAGTGGTTCCATGTGTTTTTATCTTATAGAAGGCCCTTCATTTACAAATTCTAAAATGTGATTTTCCCATGACATGTCTCTGGAGAAAGCGCTTTGCATGCCAGCAATTCTAGAGTGTCAAATATTTCATTCTTAGCCCCACCAAACAGCAATACTCATGCTTAAACCCACTAAATTTCTAAATCATTTTAACTTCAGTTTAGAGAACTCTAAGATGGACTTCACCACCACCTCTAAATTGAAAATTTCTGTCTTTTGTAACACTCATGTTGGAGAAAATGTATTAAAGTACAAGGTTCCAATGTCTCTAAAGAGCAAGCAGCTTAGTGATAAATGACTGCTCAAAATAGAAACTCATGTACTGCCCAACATAAGGAAGAACTAATGCTTCTCCTAAGGGTAAAATGAACAGAAATTCTGCTTGAATAGCTTATTAAAAAGCAAGAGGGTGTGGCAAGAAGGGCCTTATCTTGAATATTTGGGATTCCACACCACTATAAGACAGTATGCACCACTGTATATGCTTATGTGCAAGTGAACACGGAAAGCTCACACCACTGTCTGTCCTCCATGGGCTGGCTACTATTTCAGAAGTTTTGGTGAATTGTTTCATATGGCACATTGTTGACTTTTATCTAAAGGGCTCTCATTTGCCTAAGACTGTCAATACAAAGAAGAGCTTACTGAAAGACACCACTCTTTGAAAATAATTCTACAGGAGCCGGAAGTGGGGGGTGGGGGCGGAGGGTGGACAAAAGAGCCAATCAACTACTTAAATGTAAATATAACATCCCTTAAAATTCAACGCAGTGGAACTTTTGGAAGAGCTCTAATACTCAGGTATCCGCAGATCTTGGCAATTCACTGTTCGGATATTATTTTAGCTTATATGTGTTTTGTTTGACTCCATTTGTTTTGAGTTTTTTCTCACTGGATATGGTGGCATGACCACAGCTTTCTGCCTTTCCCTTTTTCTTAAGATGTGCATGCACTTGTGTTTTGGGGGTCTTATAGGAATCAGCTGGGTCCAGAATCATGGTTGCCTGCTTGGGGATCCGAATGTTGCCACTAGTTTCCATCTTAGAGCTGCTGTCACTGCAGGACAGATCCCAGCGCTGCAGCTTGGTACTCTTACTTGATTTCTTTTTCTTTTCTTCCGTCCTCATTTCAAGGGCTTGCTTCTGATAACATAATCTGCTAGTAGCCAGCATATCAGTGGTTTTGGGGAAATTCTCAAATGTGTAATACGATGGATGGACTTCATGGTGAAACTCTTTCTTTCGGGAAGGGCCTGACTTCGAAGCCCCTTCCTGGTGAAGTAGCGGTTTCGACAGAGCATTAGCAATCAGCTTACTTCTCCCAGGGCTTTTCAGGGCCACGGAGGCCCCAGCGGCAGTGGGAGGCCTGACTTTGGCCCCCTTTGCTTTTTCACACTGGACAGTCTGAATCTGCAACCACTCGAGCTGAATGAGTCTGTCGATAAACTTCCCCAGGAGTCCTCCTGCCTGTGGCCCAGCTTCGGTTCTGTGCTCTGTGTTCAGAAGCAGGGCCATATCCCGCAAGTCCCAGGAGCTAAAAGGGGGTGGAAGGAAATCAGGATAACAGTATTCAGGCTTCGCTTGACCCTGACCTGGATGAAGGTCAAAGTAAACTGGATCAATTTCTTCAGCTCGAAGATTAAGATCCGGAGGTGTGAGGGGAGACGGAGGAATGGGAATTCTTTCCGAATCCGAGAGATCACTTGCACTGTCCTCATCAGCATCTTCTTTAATAATTTTCATGGACTGAAAATCAAGAAACAATTTGTTCCCCGAGGCTCCCTGACACCTGGAACTGAGTAAACTCCTTTCGGGTTTTCCTTCTGGGGAAATGCTTTCTTTAAGTTTATCTCCAGTTGGCAGGGAAACACCGGTGAGACTGCTTCTCAGCTGGGAAGAAATGTGGGGCACTTGGGATTTGCTCTGCCTTTTTCCTGAAGAGTTCTTTGAATGTTGCACTTTATTCCAAGATGGGCCAGCATTCATATTGCTGTGAAAAATAAAACTGCAATTCTTACTACATTAGACAAAAATGGTTTGGCTATGATTAAACAAACAAAAAGAATCCTCTAGTTGTACTTTTTCCCAGCCATTACAAGGCATTAGCAAACGTAAAGCTTCCAAACTCTTTACAGAAGTTTTATGAAACGTTTTTCCATGTGTAATACTCTAAGGAACGTTATGGCCGGGCTCGATGGTTCAGCCTGTAATCCCAGCACTTTGGAGGCCAAAGTGAGTGGATTGCCTAAGCCTAAGGGTTCGAGACCAACCAAGGCAACTTGGTGAGACCTTGTCTCTAAATTAATAATAATAATAATAATAATAATAATAATAAAACTAGCTGGGCATGGTAGCATGCGCCTGTAATTCCAGCTAGGCTACTTGGAAGGCTGAGGCGGAAGAATTGCTAGAGCTCAGTAGGTCATCACTGGGATGGCTGTTAGTGTGTCACTGCACTCCAGCCTGAGCAACAGACTGAGACTCTAACTCAAAAAAAAAAAAAAAGAAAAGAAAAGAAACATTACATAATGCATGTGCCAAAAGTGAATGCATGGATTCTGCTTTTTAATTAAATATTAACATTTAGGCAAAAAACATTTCTCAAAGTGTTTGTTTTATAATTTTAGAGGAGCCAGGCTTGGTGGCTCAGCCTGTAATCCCGCGCCTTTGGGAGGCTGAGGTGAGTGGATTGCCTGAGTCCATTCCACTGAGCCCAATCCACTGAGCCTGAGTGGATTGTTCGAGACCCACCTGGGCAGGCAAGGCCTCATCTCTATAATAAATCAAAAAATTAGCCGGGTGTGGTAGCGTGCCCCTGTAGTTCCAGTTACTTGGAAGGCTGAGGCGGAAGGATCACCGGAGCCCAGCAGGTCAAGGCTGCGGTGGCCGGGAGCGACCACTGCACTCCAGTCTGGGCGACAGAGTGAGACTCCAGCTCAAAAAAAAAAAAAAAATTTTTAGAGCAATTACGTGTACTTTAAAAAACCATTAATTTGGAAAGAATTTGCCACAGAACTCTCAATCTGTTCTGTTAATGATCAACAGTGTTTAATAACATCCAAAAGCATCCAATTTTGTTTAATATGTCTATTTTAGATTAGATGTAAATATGATACAAAATGCAAGTTTTACAGAGTTTAATCACTGATTAGTGGTGACTGTGAGATGACTAAAACTTTAATACATGAAAGTGTAGCACATACAACCTGTATCTTTTTTTTTTTTGAGTTGGAGTCTCACTCTGTCACCCAGACTGGAGTGCAGTGGCCGCTCCCGGCCATCACAGCCTTGACCTGCTGGGCTCCGGCGATCCTTCCACCTCAGCTTTCCGAGTAGCCAGAATTATAGGCACATGCTACCACGCCCGGCTAATTTTTTGATTTATTGTAGAGATGAGGTCTCACCTGCCCAGGCGGGTCACAACCTGTATCTTAAACCAAAAGCTTATTAAAATGTTTTCAAACCGGTAACACACTTGGGAAAACTGTGTTTAAATAATAGAAATAAAACAATACCTTATAACATAATATGAATGAAAACATAGGGTCAGTGCTATTTGTGAATGGCAGATAGAGGGAAATAATGAATGCTGTGTGCATGACTGCTATAGTAACTTATTCTTTCTGGGGTTATTTATTTTGAGGCAGAATCTCACATCAGAGTTGAAAATATCTTCTTTTCAATATATTTACCAAGAACATAGCATTTGACTAAGGTTAATAATACTTCTCTGTAATATAAGTCATTTAGGATGAACAGAAAAGGGTGGTAAACATCCTTTCTAGAAACCTCAGTGGTTCACTTGCCCAGTGGTTTCAACCAAACTAAGCAATTATTTGAATATGTGCTACTTTTTAATTAATAAATACAGAGGATGTTAAATCATTGCCAACAGCATGTGTGCTCAAAAAATGTTGAATGAATGAATGAAAAAAGTGAAAGAATGTCCATTATTCAGAATCCATAACTAACACAACTAAAATTTTGTTTCTTCCTACATGTCAATGTACATCCATAAAAGTTAATTATTATCTGTATTCTTTTGTAGCAAAAGGAACTCACACAGAAAATTGATTAAGGGACTTGCTCATAATTATAAACTCTGCTAACACTGTAAGAATTATGACCTGGAATTATGACCTCTGGACTAAGAGTAATGCTTAAAACCACTTTTCTGCTAATTTCTGCTAGATAGAAAATATAAGTGTATGTTTCTTATCTATAGATATATTTTTCCAGTTCATATAATCAGTCTGAGAAGTGAGATAATGTGCCTTCTGCAAGATAAAACGATTATACTAAAACCATTTACCTGCTCTTCTGATGAGATTCATTCACCCTATTCCTTTTCTTGAAAAAATCACATGGCTGATCATCATCTAGGGTTTGATGGACTGTCTAAAAAAATAGGCATGCAGTAATAAATACTGTGCGCGCGCACACACACACACACACACACACACACGTCAAACAAATCTAAGAAACCAGAACAAATCTAAGAAAGATTTTTCTTCTTAGTTTACATCACCTTCTCTGTAGTGCTCAAAATATTCTTGTTCAATCTGGTGGAAGATGATGACAGCTGGGGAGGTGACTTCTTTATTCCTCTTATATTTGGAAAGGAGTCCTCACCACCAGAACTAGAAGCAACAATACCGTCAGTATTGACTGCAAACAATCCTGCCAGAAGTACTGGGTTGGTTTTTTTACTTATTTTTTAAAATACTTGCATAGTATTGAAATATGGGTCTGTGATCATATAGTGATTTGTACTCTGAGCTATGAAATATTGGAGGAGGGAGATAGTGTCTTATCACAGTAGATATTATCACAGTAGACACAGTTTTGTCTTTTCTGCATATTTATCACAGTAGATATTCAATATAGAATCATACTATTATAAATACTATGAATGGATTCCATCCCTTTCTCTCTCTCCCTGTACACATGCAGCTTTAATCACCTTGGAAATAACATGTTGAAGAAACTTGGGAGGCTAAATAAGGTCATGTCTTATTCCAACACTGAGACATTTATTCAACAAATAATTACAGGAATACCTAAGAAGTAGCATAGATTATGCATACGTCCCTGTTCTCGTGGAGCTTGCACTCCAGGCAGGACACTTCCTCAATCCTCTGCATTTTCTATCACAGCAGTCCCTTAAAATATTTCCTATATGTGAGTCCATATTTCATACTATGTAGCATTATCTCTTGGTGAAATTCTGTCGACCCATTCCACAGATTGCCGTTATTCCCTCTCTCATTTTGGGTGGTCTCTTAAGAGTGCCCCAACTAGAATCCAAACACTAAACTTTCCTATATATCCTCTGCCTCTGTAAAATAGATAAGAGGTGGGATATTTTTTCCACAATAATCATGTAAGCCTTTATAGTCGGTTTATCTATGGTGGTAATAAAAAATCACATATGGGCTCTCACAATTAACAAATTATATCATCATCATCAGGCTTGGCTCATTTTAGATGTAAAAATGTTCTTTGCCAACCGTCTTCCATGAGTCTGGTATTCTTTCTGTTCTGTCCTCCAGGCATTAAAAAGGAACCTTCTCAATGGAATGCCTAGTCTCACACTGCTCTCCAGGAAGTGCACGTGCACCCTTTTCACTTCATTTCACCTGGCAAGCTTTACTCTACATTAAAGGCCGCAGCATTCAATCCTCCAAGTTACTGGGTGAGAGAAACGAACACTTGTAGAGCCCTAAGGATGTAGAGAAAAGGTTCCCGGTCTCCCCGGCTGCTTTGCCAGTGTGGAAACAATACCAAAAGCCGGAGACACTGGCTACAGAAATGCTGCCCCAGCGCCAGAGGCTGTGTAAGGGCAGCTGCACAGTTCATCCCTGGGTATTAGCCCTTGTTCCTCGTCTTCCTCTCTGGTGCAGAAGCAGCACTTCTTACCCCTCCCCATGCCAGGGAACCGCTGGCCATTACGCGCGGCAAGGCATTGTGGGTGACGCGTTGACATGACGCTTCTCCTCCACACCGCGAAGCTGCCTGGGTCTGGCCAAGGGTCCAGGTGGCACTGATCATGTCCAAAGAGTGGCTGAGACGCTTAAAATTAGCCTGGGGGCCAGCTCCTGAAAAGGCCGGCTTCTCCCCCTCCCCCAGGAACCCAAAAATCCAGGGACACGCAGCATGCATTTTCCTCGTCCCGTTTGTGCAGACACGATCTGTGATCGATAGGCGCACAGCCCTGGCAGACGCAGACACAAATTGATCAGACCTGTTTCGCGACCGCAGAGGACACGTGACGAGGCTGCCAGTCTTCCTTCCTCCTGGGCTGCGGCGCGCTGCGGCAGGGGCGCTGGAGGCGGCTCGCGGCCTCCGGGACTGGGCTCCGGCCGGCGGGGCCCGCCCGCAGGCGGCGTCACCAGGGGCGGGGCGGCGCGGGGAAGTCGCACTGAGGCAAGTTGCAGCCCTGTGAGTTGCGGCCCGGGAGGTGGGCGGGGCGCTCCGGGAAGGCAGCCTCCTCCAAGAGCCTCGGATGACAACAAGGAAGAGGCGCCACCCTGCGCTGCCCTGGCGGTCTGTCCACCGGAGCAAGAAGTCATCTTTTGGAAACAAGTTGCTCTTGCTTAGCTGCAAGAAGCGGAAGACCCGGGCGAGGACTCAAGGTGGTGGCCACCGGGAGGGCGCAGCGGGCCCAAGGGTCCCTTACAGGTTGCTAATACGGTGGGTTCCGGGCGGCTCCTGAGCACGGCCGGGGACTCTGAGAGAGCCAGGCGGGGTCCCGGAAGCTGCCCCTCGGCTCTGTGTGTGCATCTTCCGACGGCCGGCAGGACCATGTCCAGAGGCCCAAGGTCCGCGATCTTGTCCGCCACCCCGGGGTCCCGGAAGCCCGTCCCGCGGAGCCTCAGCTGTCTCTCGGACCTGGACGGCAGAAACTCCAAGAAAATT